GCTAAGCACTTCTGCAAAGGAAAAAAATATATTCAAACTAGAAAAAAAAGTAAAAATAGAAAATGCAAATTAAGAAATGATTTTATATGCAAAACCACACACACACAAAAACAGGACAGTATACTTTTAATAAATCTTTATAAACATCTCAGCTCTTGAAAGTTACTGTTATTGATGATTTGAGCAAACAATGAAAAACCTCCAGCCCAATTCCTTGGCTGACGTCACTTCATTAACATTTTCAATTTTRAAATACCTTTAACTCAGAAAATCAAATCCAAACAACTTTTCCAGTCTTCTAAACAATGCTTAGCATCATATTTGCTTTACGACACTTTAAAGTCCTCGCACGTACTTACAGAACTAGTAAAGATATCAAAGAATTTTATGCGCACGCGCGTGCCACCAAAAATGAGAAGTTTGTGCAAAATAGACTTGTATTTTTTTATGCATTTCAGATATTATAGCGTCTCAGTTGACCAGTTTCTTTACGCCAGTTTTGACCGTGAAAGTACAGTAGATGAAATCGGTATCACGTGAACAAAAGGGACAATGCTGATTGGATGTATTTTATATATGATGTACAATTTTAARATGAGCAGCATTTCTGATCGCGCGTACATCAGAAAAATTCCTAGCTGCACCTCTGGACAACCTCACSTGCAATACCAAATTGACGGCAATGGCATTGTTGATAACTGCTGTGATATTTCTCAATATATGCATCCCTTCGAGCAGGGGCGGATCCAGAAATTTATGAGGAGAGTGTCACTAATGAAGAAATGTACAATAAATGGTTCGTGTAACAGGCCAATGGATATCATTCCCTTTGGATCCGCTCCTGCCGATCGAGAGAAAGCTAAGCTTATAAAACGCTTATAAAACTTTTTCTAAGCGCAAATAAAAAAGTAAAAATTAAGATATTAAGAAAGTTAAAATAGAGTTACAGATCATAAGTTTGTTTAAAAAGGAAGGTTTTGAGAGCAGTTTTAAAATTGTCAAGTGAAGAAATGTCTCTGATACGTATAGTGTTGCCGTCAAAMAAAATAAGTTGTAATAGAATGCGACATTTTTTTGACATTTCGATGCGGTTTATTGRGCACAATTTCTTTTTTTATTTTAAAAAATTATTAACGAGTGAGGAAATACCTTGAGAAATATTAAAAAAAACCCTACTTTTTGTTTCAAAAGGCACGGGTCAACCAAATTCGTCCGCCATCTTGCATTTTTTCGAGGAGAACAGGTTTTGGCATTCAAAGTAAATTGAAGAGTATAATACTGTAGTMACTACCAACAAAAACAAAACAACCTTAGCTAGAAATCGTAAAATGTCAAATAAAATATACACGTCCAGTCGCATGTATGTAAAACTTATGAAAATGTTGACTCCTTCTCATATAAGGGATATGAAACCTTTCTGCGCGTGCTCTACTTTGTTTTCACTTAATATCTAAGCAATATAATTTCCTACAAAATGCGTTGTGAAGTGCACGTCGCTTTTGAATAAAAAGGTCCGAATAATCGCCGTAGCTTCTCCAGTAAATACGGTAACCGCCGCGAAAACCACTCCTCATAGAGACAATTTCCTCAATTCATAGTATTATTATCTTGCTAGATATCAAGGTCCAGCCCTCTACTCGGTAAACGTTGACAGCTTAATTGACGTAGCTTGCTACTGATAACGTTATCTATCACACAGGAGCGTGAGTATCGCGGTCGAGCGAGTGGGTGTTCATTTCGTGCAGTGTTAGCCAATCCAGTGCCTTTACTGATGAATTTAAGATGAGACTTTRCAGGTGACAACGACGACGAGGTTTAATTGGTAGTGCGTTTATCTGAATGTGTGTTTTTTCACTTATCACTTGTGAGAGGAAAATGGACATTTTGCGGTGCATTAATTTTGATATGGGCTTCTTCGACCGCAGYAAATATGAAAAATTTGATAAGAAGGAGGAAAATGGAAAAACTAAAGAAATACTGATGAAATTTTAAACAAATTCAAAAGCCATTATTCAATTCCATTATACTAAGTAAAAGAATATAGCTCTTCTAAACCTTTTTATGTAATGTAAATCAAAATTATGTAGTACTGCCGAATTAAATACAACGAACTGAACACAACGAAATACTGGAGAAAGAAAGAACGTTGCAACCAATACAGTCAATATAGAGATTATCCCTTATTCATGCAATTTTCAAATATTTATGGCCGCTATTCGATTTGAAAACAGACGCTCAGTTATTGAAAATCCTTGAACATTGTCGGTGATTGAATTATGGAGCCAGTTCTKCATTTCATGAGAAAGTATGAAGAGCAACATGAACGCCGAACAAAAACGAGCTAAAACTCCTGAATTCAAGATCTGACAAAGCCACTAATAATCAACTAGACAATATTATTTGATTTTGCATTAGTGGCGAATTTATACTCTATAATTAACTTTTAAAGTTTTATTACTCTGTTGAAAATAGCATTTGAAGGGTTTTAAGCAAACTTAATTATTTGTTGTTACCTTTACTAGTTATTTGCTTAATTTTGCTCGATTAGTCTAATAAAAGAAAGCTGCTAGGAATAAAACTATTTTAAGGCCGGAGTCATCCAATAAAACGTCTGAAGTGTCTGATTTTTTTTACTTCCCCTAAAAATGATGTTTATTTACGAGTCGGGCAAACAAAAATCTTGATTTTAAGATTGCAATGTTTTGATGATCTCAATATTTAACTTGATTTAATGTAAWCACTCATCTTTTAAAGAAAATTAACTGAAAATAAATAAATAAAAAAGGGCTAAAAAAATGAAAATTGATAAAGAATAATAATAATAAATGATAATAATAATCATATGTAATAATAGTTCTTAACAAAAAGCAAAGCAGAGATTAAGAGCGTATTTTTGATAAAATCTGTAACTTGTACATATTTTAAAAGTTGCCGATGACGTTTGAGGAACTGAATGCTCAACAGAAAGCTTTTTTGGGGGATATATTCGTTATTGATACGGCGGGCTGATAATATTCCATCTGTGTCTTAGTGAAAAATCATCACGGACCAACAAAGTAAGCAAACCATTGTAAGTGTTGCTGGATTAMACTGAGCAATACATTCAGTAACTTGTTTTCACATCATCGCTTGCTGGCTTAATTTTACTGAAGAATTGCGATCAAAGTGTATAATATAGCTAGTTTTTCAGTTTCACGAAATGTTGTGCGTATTAAAGTCAGCTTGCACATGAAAAAATTGACACAACAACTTTTTACAACTCAAAGAAGCAACTTGCAAGGCCAAGACTAATTTTAAAGAAATTACTGGCTTAACGAGCACATTGGGAGCCATTTTTTTAATTCTCAACGCCTATGCAAAGCGTCGCAAAAATTTATACTCAGTAGAAARGGGTCAAAATTTTCTCTATAACACTTCCTTAGCAACGCGCTCTTAAAAAGTTACCAAGAAAGTTGCGCATTGTTGCCGCACTTTTCGCAAGCCCACTTTTAACATTTTAATGAATATTTCTGATTATATAGCGAGCTTTCCTTTCATTATACGGTAAATTTGTTGTCAGTATTGTTCATACTTTTTTTRACAATATTATACATTTTTTACATTATGTGCAGTATTAATAACATAAATGGTCTGAATTGACCCTCATTTCCTGTTACTGTCACTGCTCTAATCCCATTTCCAAGAAAATCGCTTGTGGCAAATAAAACAATTATACGCCATAGCGTCAAAAGGAAGTTTTAGGAACCTTTCATTAAAAATACAACGAATCGATTAACAGATAGATTACACTTCCYAAATGTACGTTTGAGCTCAAGGCGCCAAGTGCAGCTGTCCATCCAACCCCTAATAATCATTTTGCCGACTTCTGGATATTTCATTAGACTGGATTAAAGCTCAAAGCAAGCGCAAAGGAAAAGCTAGAAGAGCTATTTTCCCTCTAGCTCTATAGTCTCTACAAGGCYAGAGGCTTAGCCTTGAGTGGGTTTTAGAGCTTGAGGAAAAGGAAACTCCCTAGATCTCATTTTATACAACAATGGATAGTATTCGTAATATTGGAATCAGTGCTTGCGCTATCTGGATTTATATTTTTTTCGCGCACGACAGACAAAGAAGTCTGACAACCATGATGTTGTTTTGATGCGGTGTCTTTTTGAACGTCATCGCAAACGTCCGTACCAAGGAAGATTRATGTTTTCTCTGCTTGTTTCCTTCTTCACATATTAAAAGCGAAAGCTAGTTCCGATATGATTATTTTTCTATTTTTGATGGTTTTGTTGTCTTGATGATTGTCATGATTCAKCCCCCAAAGGATGAACCAATCTAAGCTAGCCAGTGGATCAGCTTTGCGTCTCTATCGCAATATAGTTTGACGCATTTTTGACCGCCGGCATCTAATCTTACTTTTGCTCACCCCAAATACCAGCCTTTAACATTGAATGGAAGTATTTCTTATRAAATATAGAATGGGATGAATGATTTAGGATTTAAAAATATATGACAGGAAGGACTTTCAAACATCTTTATATATTAATGCGTGATCTTAATTACAACAATAATTAAAATTAACTTGCCTGCGTGAAGCAGTGCCTTTAATTTATAGTTTGTCACTAATAGAACATACCTATGTCATTATATTTCTATTATAGCATTGGACATGTGCGGCTAATCTCCTTGGTTCGGGAGCCATTACACAAACATGCGTCAATCGGTTGTAATCATGCGTTGATATTTTTTCGAGATTAAAAGTGCTAATAGCCGTGTCAGCAAATAGGAATAAGCTTATTTGTACCAATTACTTCCTGTRCCTCCCATAYCTAATACAGACATCAGCACCAATAGTACAAGCAGTCCGTACATTTGACTTCAAAGCACTTTAGCGTATGTCATAGTTATTTGCATTCAAAGTTGAAGTGAGTTTAAGATTAATTCATCATAAAACTGAACAACGTAAAGTAAAATATCACTATTCTAATAATATTATTTTCTTTATGCTATTTCAGGTTCTTCCGAGCTAGAACACTTTACAATTGATCGACAAAACCCTTTAAGATGAAGCTGTGACTGAAAGCGTTAATCCTGGATGCTCCAATGGATGTTGTTTGTGGGGACAAAGTCTCAGTTCCAGATGTCTCGGGAAATGGACACTTGAAAGAAGAAGGATGTGGTGGATTAAAACGAATAGATATCGATAGCAAAGGATTTGATTTTCTGAATTCTTCGCATTTCTTACGAAGTCACGACAAAGCGAGTGGCGAGCAGTTGAGGAAGTATATTAGGTGTAACTCTTCGGAGGAGTCTGCTTTGCCAAATGAGTCTGTTGGAGCTTCGTTTCTAATGCAAAATAATAACAATCGGAAAAGCAAAAATGTGGAGAATGGATTCGTCGAGTGGAATCAAATCGAGAAGATCAGTTGTAATCCTTTGAACAATTCTAATCTTGTCGAGGAAGACAAAAGCTCTACCACAAATGGGTGCTTAAAAACAGAATCCATGTCGATTCATTTGATCTCGACATTGAACAAAGACTCAAGACTGTCAGRAAGAAGCGRYTKCAGTGATGAATGTTTGGAAGAATTTCATTCAATGCCGCAWACACCAAATCGTTCATCAAACGAACTMGCRAATACAGCCGGAAGCGATTCGCTAGGAGAAAAACAAGACGATAGTTGCTTTACGGTACGTCCAGAATATCATGCCTCAAAAAGYAGCTCGGAAATACATCACTTGTCACGTGGTGCAATCTCCGAAAAGGAACACTCGAAAAAGAAAATATCTTTTAGGGCGTTGGTAAGGATGAAAGGTTTGGGAAGAAAATTGCGACGGAAACATCAGGGCAAAACAAAACAAAARCAGGCTAACAACAAAAAGGAATCCAGTGGAACTGATCCGCTACTGTTCTCTGAYTCTAGTGCTAAATACCTCTTAGAGTCRAGCGTGAGCGTCACTGATGATAACACAAACTGTAAAAATCAAATAACACAACACAAGCAGAAGCGCCCGAGCCTTCTSAAGAACAAGAAAAGCTACTCCTTTTCAGGGACTAGCACTCCTGAACACATTTTTCAAGCTGAATTAAGTTCATCTTCTTCAGATATAGTCTGCAGTGAAGAGTATCTAGGAAAACGTAGATTTGCTGTGTGCGAGGAGATTGAAAAGGCTRTTATCTGTGGAGATCAAAGCTTGGCTGAACTGCGATCTATTTTGGTGATACAACACAAACTGACAGGATTTGGATTACTTTRATCTTATAACATTCAATTATGATAGTGAATTATTGTTTGTTAGATCGATGGCGTTTTATTACAATCAGTCGCTGGAGGATGGCGCACTGYGCGCATGTCACACTCTAAACGAGAATCATCTTTTCAAGGAAATTAAGTGCTGATGAAATGATGTAAGGAAAGTGCACACAATAGCCTTATGTTGCTAATATCATCACAGTATATCGGTTTAACGCTGTATATTGTAAGGATTTGGTCCATTAATTCAAACAAATGGCCATGACAAATATTGAAATATTTGATCGCACATTCACAACGAGAGATTATAGGTGAAAAGAAATAAAAAAAAAATATTTACCAGGGCCGTGACATGGTTTATTGTTTCGTTCATTTTTTTGACCAATCTTCCGGTAMCATTTCCACGAAATTTCTTTTCAAATTTGATCCATGTTCCCAAAACAATGAGCGATCCCAAAACATTTTTAAAGTTTATCCCCGATCTCGATCCGAGCACTAGCTGTAATCCCGATCCCATGCAAAGGTAAAAACCTCCTTGATCCCCAAATAATGCTGATTCCTGTTCCCATATACCATATACCATGTCACGAACCTGATTTGCCATATATAACTAGTACTATTTTATAAATCACATTTGAAAAGAAAGAGTCGTTTAGCATAGTATATAAAAAAACTCTTATTATATAATCAATCTTGTTTTGTACTTGATCGTGTTCTTTACTAAAGCAGTGAGTACATTAGTTAAAGATAGACTAATCAACCCGCTCATCCCATGAATCCGTACCAAGTTGTTACTTCCAATTACAGAATAGTCTATTCGACTTTAAAGGAAAACAGGGAATTCTAAACAAGCTATTTTTGGGGGGATGGAGTGGATAATTAAGATTATCAAGATCGTTGTTTATGAGCTGGTAAACTTAACTAAATAATTGACATCCTCTGAAGATAGTAAAAAAGATTTAGATTTTTACTTACATTTAAATTTATTGCATTAAGAAGTTTTAGATCCCACATGGCAGTTCCGTTCCCCGATTGCCTGATATAARGTACACTATATGATGAATTGATAGCAAAGGGGGTTAGTCATAATGACGTAGGGAYCGGCTAATCTCTTCCCTCGTTGGTGGATGGGTGATCGTTTTTGCTCATTTTATTTTAATGTTTATTTTATTTTATATCATATATATATTTTTATCTTTTTTTTCCTTTTTATCGAATGCTTCTTTTTTTTATTTTTGATTGTAAAAAAGCCCTAGAGTTATTTCTCTTGAYGCATTATATTTGTCACATGACACTATCATGGCGTTGCGCCTGGTTTAGAGGATGCGGGTTCGAATCGTAGATCGATACAGCCATCATGGTTTGACTATTTTTTCGTCTTTTTGGTTGAATTTATTTTGTTGATCTGTCATTTAGGAAGAATGTTTATTTTCTAACACAAAGACAAATCCAATTTATTTTACATGTCTTAAGGATCAGCTATTTCTGAGTTAATCTRGTAAAGTT